ACTTGGCCTAGCTGAATCTCAGTTTCTTCATTTGTAAAATGGGAATACCACCACCACCATTTCCTGTGAAGTCAATTCCAACTCCTGGTGATTCCATGTATTGCAGAGTAGAACTGCACTCCATAGGGTTTTCAAGTCTGTGACCTTTCAGAAGCAGATCACAAGGCCTTTCTTCCAAGGTGCCTCTGGGTGGGCTCGAACCAATGACCTTTCAGTTAGTAGTTAAGCGCTTTACGTTTGCACAATCCAGGGACAGGGACTCCAAAATGGGACTAACAATACTTAACTCATAAGATTGTTAAGTAAACACAAGCTACCTTTCACTGAACACTTACTATGTGCCCACCCCAGAGGTCACAAATTTAAATGCCCTCCTGAGGTGAGTAATAAGAAATGAAGAGGATTATGGGAAACTAGACAGAATGCTTCCTTCATAAAAAGATAGCAGCCCTACTTAGCTCTAGTTCATGGTTTCAAAGTATGGTCCCTTGACCAGCAGCATCATTACCTGGAACTTGTTCCGAAGAAACCCAAACCCATTGCCATTGAGTCGATTCCGACTCATAGCGACCCTATAGGACAGAGTAGAACTACCCCATAGGGTTTCCAAGGCTGTAAATCTTTATGGAAGCAGACTGCCACATCTTTCTCCCCCAGAGCAGCCGGTGGGTTTGAACTGCCAGCCTTTCGGTTAGCAGCCAAGCACTTAACCACTGCGTCACCAGGGCTCCTTGGTACTGGTTAGGAATGCAAATTCTCAGGCCCTGGTGGTGCAGTGGTTAAGAACTCAGTTTGCTAACCAAAAGGTCAGCAGTTCCAAATCCACCAGCTGCTCCTTGGAAACCCTATGGGGCAGTTCTACCCTGTCACATGGGGTCGCTATGAGTTAGAATCAACTCAACGGCACCCAACAACAGCAATGTAGGATTGCAGGCTTGTGTTGCTAGATCTTTTACTTTTTCTAAGAGAAACTAGAAATTTATTTATATGTGAAATGTCCCCACTTTTAAATCTTGGTAAGTCATTTAAAATTTTAAAATGTACTGCGTGGGCTAACAATATACGTGTCCTGGCCACATATGCAACCTCTGGCTATGCTTTTCCCTTTCATCTTTACAGCAGTCCTACAAGGCACTGTGATACCCATTTTATGGAGGAGGAAGATGAGGTGCAAAAAGTGAAGTGCTGCCCTGAGTCACACAGGAAGTAGCCAAGCCCTGATGTGGGCCTGGATGTACTTGGTTCTAAACCTCTGCCTTTTTTACTTACGTGGAAGATAAAATATATGAATGTACCTAGCACAGGGCCTGGCACACAAAAGCTAAAGATCTTTTGCATGCTGAGGGCACCGACGCCATTGACTAATGAATTTTTCTTCTCTATTCTTCTACCCCCAGCCTTGGACTAATCTGCATTCCTGTAAAGCCAAGTTAATCATCAGGGGAGCCTGTGACTGGCTGGAGAGGGGTGAGGCTGGGCAGGTTTGGGGAGGGAAGGGGGTTGGGTGGTTAGACAGTCCCGGAAGAATGCTGTGGGCAGCACTACCTGGGGCTGAATGTCCAGTAGCCAGCTGGGTCCCCAGGCTAAAACTGGTGTCGGCCTAAGTATTCTCTGTGTGCCCTAGACTGGGTCTCAGGAGCCTGCCCAGGGCTGTGGCCTGACCTGGACCCTGCCCTCATTGCTGTTGACTGTTCTTTGAGCTCAGAGTAAACAGCGCCGGCCCCTCCCAAGGACAGCATGTCTCCAGGCCCCAGGCTGGGCATGGGAAGCTGGGAGGGGGGTTCTCAGTTTCTTCATTCTTTCACCAACTTCCATCTGTGGGGACAGAGGCTGGATGAGCTCACATCATGGAGTCCTACTCCCCTGCCATCCCAATGGTCACTGCCCCCAACCCCCTCTACCTCCAGCTGCAAAGACCTCTTGAGGCTTACAGAACCTCAGATTGTTGGAGCAGAAAGAACTCTGCAAGTCATCTCTTGTCTAACTCCCTGAATAGCCCTGTTTTGGCATTTATCACCTTGGATTCTAAAGCTTGGTATATACTCATCTGTCTCCTTAGTAACGGTAGACACCATTCATGGATGGTATATACTCATCTATCTCCTTGGTAACGGTAGACACCGTTCATGGATGGTATATACTCAACCAGGGACTGGTTCCTCCTGATAACATGTCCAAAGTACATGAGACAAAGTCTCGCCATCCTCGCTTCTAAGGAACATCCTGGCTGTACTTCTTCCAAGACAGATTTGTTTGTTCTTCTGGCACTCCATGTTATATTGAATATTCTTCTCCAACACCATAATTCAAAGGCATCAATTATTCTTCAGTCTTCCTTATTCATTGTCTAGCTTTCACCTGTATATGAGGTGATTGAAAATACTCATCAAAGAAGCCTGGTGGCGCAACGCTGCTAAATTCAAAAGGTTGGAAGTACCAATCTACCCAGGGGCTCCTCGGGAGAAAGATCTGGCAGTCTGCCCCCTACATCAATCAGTGACCTAGCCCTCAATGATAACAGCAGGAATGTCATGTTCATGTTCCCACTGAATTCTTATATTATCATCATTATTATAGATGACAAACTGGTGGATCAGAACAAGGAAGTCAAACCCAGACCCATCACCCCCAGGCCTGTGCAGGAGGGCTTATTTTGGATTCATTTTTCTACACCAAGCGTCTTGCCCTATACTGTCACAAAGTAGACGCCTATCGAATGTTTGTTGTGATGGAATGGAGAAAACAAGGACGTGGCGGGAAGGAGACCTGGGATGAAAACCTTGTCCCTACAGTTTCGCATGGGACCCTGGGCAAGGGTCTAAACCTCTCTGCACATCTTGTTCTTCCGTCATATACAGCTGATGACAACAATAATTCTCTCTTCATAGGTTTTCTGGGAAGATTCCATGTGACAATGAGCATACTATCCGGCACACAGTCAGCCACGATAGATGGTTGGTGTGGAAAAGAGAGAGAGAGAACCACATCCAGAGTGGCTCTAGACTGTTAATAGTTATGTCACCTCCATGGGCTTCAGTTTCTTCTGTCAGATAGGTTCATGTTAAAATGTTGTTATTGCTAGATGTCATCAAGTCTGTTCTGACTCATAGCGACCCCATGTACAACAGAACGAAACACTGCCTGGTCCTGTGCCATCCTCAAAATCATTGCTATGTTTGAATCCATTGTTGCAGCTACTGTGTCAATCCATCTCCTTGAGGGTGTTCCTCTTTTTTGCTGACCCTCTACTTTACCAAGCATGATATTCTTCTCCAGGGACTGGTTCCTCCTGATAACATGTCCAAAGTACATGAGACAAAGTCTCGCCATCCTTGCTTCTAAGGAACATCCTGGCTGTACTTCTTCCAAGACAGATTTGTTTGTTCTTCTGGCACTCCATGGTATATTGAATATTCTTCTCCAACACCATAATTCAAAGGCATCAATTCTTCTTCAGTCTTCCTTATTCATTGTCTAGCTTTCACCTGTATATGAGGTGATTGAAAATACTACGGCTTGGGTCAGGTGCACCTTAGTCCTCAAGGTGACATCTTTGCTTTTTAACACTTTAAAGAGGTCTTTTGCAGCAGATTTGCCCAATGCAATGTGTCATTTGATTTCGTGACTGCTTCGTCCATGGGCATTGATTGTGGATCCAAGTAAAATGAAATCCTTGACAACTTCAGTCGTTTCTCCATTTATCATGATGTTGTTTATTGGTCCAGTTGTGAGGATTTTTGTTTTCTTTATGTTGAGGTGTAATTCATACTGAAGGCTGTAGTCTTTGATCTTCATCAGTAAGTGCTTCAAGTCCTCTTCGCTTTCAGCAAGCAAAGTTGAGTCATCTGCATATCGCAGGTTGTTAAAGAGTCTTCCTCCAATCCTAACACCGAGTTCTTCTTCATATAGTCCAGCTTCTTAGATTATTTGCTCAGCATACAGATTGAATAAGTATGGTAAAATGATAAAACCCTGATGCACGCCTTTCCTGACTTTAAACCACACAGTATCCCCTTGTTCTGTTTGAACAACTGCCTCTTGGTCTATGTACAGGATCCTCATGAGCACAATTAAGTGTTCTGGAATTCCCATTCTTTGCAATGTTATTCATAATTTGTTGTGATCTACCCAGTTGAATGCCTTTGCATGCTCAATAAAACACAGGTAAATGTCTTTCTGGTATTCTCTGCTTTTGGCCAAGATCCATGTGACATCAGCAATGACATCCCTCGTTCATGTCCTCTTCTGAATCTGGCTTGAATTTCTGGCAGTTCCCTGTTGATGTACTGCTGCAACTGCTTTTGAATGACATTCAGTAAAATTTTACTTATGTGTGATATTAATGATATTGTTTGATAATTTCCAGATTCTGTTGGGTCACTTTTCTTTGGAATGGGCACAAATATGGTTCTCTTCCAGCTGGTTGGCCAGGTAGCTGTCTTTCATTTTAAAATAACAACTGCGATTTCTATAGCCCCTACTATGTGCTCTGCAGCGCTATGCCAGGTTGCCATCACTAATCCTTAAGAGGTGATTTGCACTCTGATCTGGCTGACCCCAAATCCAACCCCTTAATCCCCAGGCTCTACTGCCTCCCTGGAGGCCCTGCCCTTTTCTCTTCTTCCTCCCACCCCTGGACATTACTGGGAGACCCCAGAATCTTGGAACCGGGACCCAGGAGTCCTGTGCTGTTCCCTCCCGCTGCTCTGCCCTCAGGCCCCAGGAGGGAGAAAGGCAGGGAGGGGTGGACAAGTGTCCGGCTGCAGCTGGCTGAGCTGTGCCCCGCCTGGAAGCTGCTTAGGTTCCTGGTTCCCACAGGGGCCAAGAGTGACACCTGATGCCGGGGGATTGTGAAACGGCATGAGGTGGCAGCCAGCCCCCGGGCCCCGTGAGCCCTCTATCCCGTTGGCCCGGCCCCGCCCCCTCACACCTCCCCGGAGCCAGTGGTTAAATCCCCCTGTGCCGGGCGGCTTGCACCTGCACCCCGCCCGGTGAGCACCATGCCTGCCAGCCGCCTTGGCCCACTCGCCGCCGCCCTCCTGCTGGGCTTGCTGCTGCTTGGCCTGCCCCCGGTCCGCAGCGACACAGGTGAGTGGGGCGGGGAGCCGCCCGGTGCCTAGAGGCCCGAGCCAGAAGCGCAGGACAGAGCAGGACAGAGCTGGCCACGGCGTAGCCTCTCCTGGGCTGGAGAAGTGGGAGTCCCGGGGGCGGACGTGGGGAAACCTATGAAGGCTGAAATTTGGGGGTCCTTGGTGCCGAAAGGTGGTGGCTCTTGCAGCTTGCGGGTGTGAAAGCCAGTGTACCGGAGGTGCGGAGACCACTGAGGGCCGAAATATGGGGCGGGGCTCTGTGCTGCAGGGAGAGACTACAACAGGAAGGGAGGCCCACTGTCTAGACGTCAGGAGCTCCTAGATTCTCAGCTTTACGGGGTCCCCTGCGGGCTAAGATTTGAGGGCTCTGGGGCCACGAGTTAGGGAACTCCTAACTGAGATACTCTTAAGGTTCTTAGGAACACCTGGCCTGCAAGTGGGGCCTTCTGGCGAGCCCCGAGGGCCAGAAATTAAGAATTCCTTGGAGCTTGAGGTTTGGGGCCCTCAGGGCAGGTAGACATGTTCTGGGGTCCGGACCCACCACTCTCCGTCCCCCTGTCCCCCTACTTCCTTTCCTCCTGCACAGAAACACAGAAACCGGGCGTGTGCCCTGAACTCCAGGGCGACCTGAACGGCATGGAGGAGTGCGTCTCGGATGGAGACTGCGCCGAGAACCTCAAGTGCTGCCGGGCGGGCTGCAGCGCCGTATGCGTTATGCCCAATGGTAACCTCGCGGCGACAGGTCCAGGGAGGGCCGGAGACTGGGATGGCGCGGGCCGCCCAGGTTCCGGGAAGAGGGGCGCATCCGGCCCAGGGACCCCTGGGAGAGTTGAGGCGATGGAGCCAGACTCTCAGTCCCCTCCCTCGCCTGGCCGGGGGAGACACAAAGGCGTCGCTGAAGCGCAACCGAGGGGAAGGAGGCCCCCACCCCTGATGAATTTGAGTCCCTCGTGCGTGACGGGCTTCCGGGCGCGCACAGCTGGACATTGTTCCGGGCGCGGGTGACCGGGGCGCGGGAGCCTGCGGGGAAGCTGGGCGGGCTCAGAGCTGGCCCCAGTCCTGGGGCGCACATCCCTCGCGGAGTCCCGGCGACTCCCTCTTTAGGGGGAGGGCTTAGAGCCCCTGGCCTGGCAGGACTGCCTGGATTCCTCTGTCCAGGCGGAAAGAGACTTTACAGCGTTAGGAGAGCGACCAGCTCACCTTAAAGGTGTGGACATGAGCGACTGAGAGGGAAAGGCTGTCGCCCAAGGTTACACCGCCGCCGGTGGCTCGACCCGAGTCCTAGTGACCGGGTTCAGCTTCTGCCTCTTCCGCTTACTGCCTGTTTGGTTGGAAGAAAGTCAGGTCTCGCTGAGTGCTCCAGTCCCCCCTCCTCGTCTTTAAAACCATACCTTCCACGCTGAGGAATGAGCGAGATGGGTAACGTGGGTGAAAGCTTGGGTGCTCTGTGAAAGGTACTTAAGAGCGCAAGTCCCCACAGCACCGTGGGGACTCCCATCAGAGCAGGAAGGGGCCCTAGATAGCACGGATCCCAGCTTCTCCTTTACAGAGAGAAAAACTGAGGGTTTGAGGCAGGGATGTGCCCTGGGGGTACCAAGATACTGTAACTAGGTCTTTACCCAGAATATAGCCCCTGTGGCGTTTTCTCTGTTATTGCCCTAAAGATGCCATCAGGGCTGGGAAGCACTGTAATCCAGGAGCCCAGACACTCGTGATGAGGCTGTGGGGGTTCAGGGTGGTTCTCTAGCCCTAGCGGGGGAGACTGGGGCCTGATTCCCGGCCAGCACCTTATGCGCGGCCACCACCTGTCTGTCAGTGGAGGCTTGTGTGTTGCTATGATGCTGAACAAGTTTCAGTGGAGCTTTGAGAGTAAGATAGACTGGGAAGAAAGGCCTGGTGATTTACTTCTGAAAATCAGCCAGTGATCTGAAATATGTGATCTGGAACATTGTCAGCATTTCCTTCCTTTGTGCATGGAGCAGACTCAGTAGCAGCTAACAATAACAAGACACCTATGTGGAGGAAGGACTGGCCATCCAACCTTTGCTGTTAGGTGGATGAAGAGCTGTTCCCTTGTCTCAGATGGACAGACTTAGGCAAGAATAGGGACAGGGCAAGATGGCCTCCTGAGCCAGGGAGGGAGCCTGGAGGTTTCAATCCTAATTCTGCCATTTCCTAATTGTGTTATCCTATGAGTTGGAATCCACTTGATGACAGCGGGCTTTTTGGTTTTGGGAGTGAGTCTCTTTCCTCTCTGGGCTTCTGCTTTCTCATCTGCAAAATGGGAATGATAATCCCAAACTTTACAGAATTGGCATGAAGGCTAAATGAAATAGTACATATGAAATGCATTCTTAAAGACTAGATACCCAATACGCAGGGGCTTGTGTCGTCAGTAACCGGTTCCCTATTCCCTTTTGTCCTGGGGCAGTCTGGTATTGGGAGCTCCTGCCCTTTGCAAAGGAATGGATTTATTTGTGCCAGGAAGTCAGCCACTCTTGCTTTCTGGAGCTAATCACCCAGTCTAGTGCCTGTAGTTTATGTTTAGCTGGAGCTGCCCCTGGGGCTTCTGGGAAGAGAGCCTGACTCGCCCCTTCCTGCCCTAAGAAGCGGAGTGTGGTGTATGTGTGCGTGCAGGCGTGTGTGTGTGCGTGTGCATGTGATGACTGAAGGTGGAATGGGATCAGCTATGTAAAAATCACCATGTTGGAATGGACATTAAGGAGGCCGGGGCTCAGGTCTTGGTTTTACTTCTGAGCAGCAGTGTGGTGTTGGGTAGTTCCTTCACCTATCTGTGCCTTATTTTTCTCATCTGTGACATGAAGGGGGTTAGAAATCTTCCCTACAAAGGAGATAGCTGATGACTGCATTAAAAATGAGAATGGGTTTACACAAGGGCTTTGTCAAAGGCACATCACTGCAGTGTTAGCTGTTCGTGTGCATTAGTGAGAGAAGTTGTGATTGTGCCTGCGATAGATGAGTGAGTGTGTACGGAGGCCATGGTGCAGCGTGATTGTACATGGGAGTGAGTTACAGGGAAGTGAGTAAAGGATTGTCAGTGTGTAATCGCTCACATGTGCACTGCGCTCTATAGTTTACGAAGCATCACAGGGCAGAGTGGTTAGCCCAGAGAGTCTGCAACCAGATTTCCTGGGGTTTAAATGCTGCCTCTAACCTGTATGATCTTAGGCAAGTTATTTAATCTCTCTGTGCCTCAGTTTCCTCATCTGTAACATGAAGAAAAATGAACAGTACCCCTCCCTTTCTTTTAGGATTATTATGAGGCTTAAACCAACCAAAAAACTCAAACCCGTTGCCATTGAGTCGATTCTGACTCATAGCGACCCTATAGGACAGGGATCTGCCCCATAGGGTTTCCAGGGAGCAGCCGGTGGATTTGAACTGCCGACATTTTGGTTAGCAGCTGAGCTCTTAACCACTGCACCACCAGCGCTCCATTATGAGGCTTAGTTGAGTTAATATATGTCAAGTGCTTGGAATAATACCCTACACATGGTGTTGTTAGTTGGTGTTGAGTCGATTCTGACTCACGGTGATCTTATGTACAACAGAATGAAATGTTGCCCAGTCCCGTGTCATCCTAACAATCACTGGCATGTATGAGTCCATCGTCGCAGCTACTGTGCCAGTCCGTCTCACTGAGGGTCACCCATGCCCTCGTTGACCCTTTGTTTGACCAAACATGGTATCTTCTAGAGACTGATCCTCCTGATGACATGCCCAAAGCAAGCAAGTTGGACAATGTTCTTTGTGATCCATAAGGTTTTCATTGGCTAATTTTTGGAAGTAGATTGCCAGGCCTTTCTTCATAGTCTTAGTCTGGAAGCTCTGCTGAAACCTGTCCACCATGGGTGACCTTGCTGGTATTTGAGATACTGGTGGTTTAGCTTCCAGCATCACAGCAACACACAAGCCACCTCACCACAGTATAACCAGCTGACAGACAGGTGGTAGGCCTGGCATGTACCAAAAACCAAACCCATTGCCGTCGAGTTGATTCTGACTCATAGCGACCCTATAGGACAGAGTAGAACTGCCCCATAGGGTTTCCAAGGGGCACCTGGTAGATTCGAACTGCTGAGCTTTTGGTTAGCAGATGTAGCTCTTAGCCACTGTGCCACCAGGGTTTCATAGTAGGGGCTAATTAAGGGTTAGCTGTTGTAATGGCTCATTACCGTTATTACAAAGTAGCTTGGTCTTTCGGGGAGAAGTATGTCTGCCTCCATTGTTTTTACAATAATCCCATGATCGGCAGCACTGATCCCCTGTAACCTAAAGACACTGGGGCTAAGGGAGATTTCTTGCCCTAGGACATTGTCTTAGTCATCTAGTGCTGCTATAACAGAAATACCACAAGCGGATGGCTTTAACAAAGAGAAGTTTATTCTCTCACAGTCCAGTAGGCTACAAGTCCAAATTCGGGGCGCCAGCTCCAGGGGAAGGCTTTCTCTCTCTGTCGGCTCTGGAGGAAGGTCCTTGTCATCAGTCTTCCCTTGGTCTGGGAGCATCTCAGTGCAGGAACCTAAGGTCCAAAGGACATGCTCTGCTCCCGGTGCTGCTTTCTTGGTGGTATGAGATCCTCCTATCTCTCTGCTCGCTTCTCTCTTTTATACCTCATCTCAAAAGAGATTGGCTTAAGACACTATCTAATCTTGTAGATCTCATCAATATAAATGCCACTAATCCATCTTATTACATCATAGTGATAGAATATACAACACATAGGAAAATCATATCAGATGACAAAAGGTAGACAATCATACAATACTGGGAATCATGATCTAGCCAAGTTGACAGATATTTTTGGTCGACACAATTCAATCCATGACATTCCACCATTTGGCATCCCCCAAATTCATGTCCTTGCCACATGTAAACATATTCATCTTACCATATCATAGCAAAAGTCTTAATTCAATTCCAAGTCAAAAATTCCTCTTCACCTGTGAAATCTAGAATACAAGTTATCTGCTTCCAAAGTTCAGTGGTAGAATAGGCAGGCACAAGCTACACATTTCCATTACAAATGGGAGAAAATGGAAGGCAAGAAGGCATAACAGTTGCCTAGCAAGTCAGCAGAACACATTACACTAGCCCTAAAGGCTTGAAAATAATCCTCTGTTCTCAGAGACCATTCACACAATGGCCTTGCCCTCTAGACTCTAGGTATTGGCCACACTCTCCAGATTCTGAGTGGAGGCCCCTCAGACCTGGGCTTCAGCTCCGCTTTCCAGGCACACTGGGACAGCAACTCTGCTCCCTCAGCTTTAGGCGCACCATTCTCCTAGTCCATCTGAGTGGCAACTCCACCCTTAGAAATACCAGAGGCTATGGCTCCACCCTTTGAAACCCCAGAGGTTGTGGCCATACCTTTGAGACTGAGGCAGCTCCGCTTCTTGTATTCCTTATCTCTTCAGCTTCTGCTTCCTGTTTCTTGGCCTCACAGCTCCTCGGGCCTCAAGCCCGCATCTGCCCTGCTGGGGCAAGTGTTCCAAAGTTCTGTAGCTCCACCGATAAGTGCCTGGAGGCACCCCACTCCACCAGGAAGCCTCCTGTGCACAGGCACTCAGCTCTCTTGCTCTGTAGGTCAGCTGCAGCGCCATCTCTCGCTGGTCTCCTGGTTCTGCTGCTGCTGGTTCTCTGCTGCTTCTGCTTCTCAGCTCCTTCCAGTTTTCTGCTGCTGTCGCTTCTCTGCTGCTGCCAGTTCTCTGCTGCTGCTGGTCCTCTGCTGCTGGCTGCCGCTCCTCTATCCATTCACAGTTTCAAAACCACTTGACTGTTTGTGAAACCAGGCAAGGGGCTGAGGGTAAGGGCACATCTCCTTGCATCCCCTTTGCCTAACTTTAACTCTCTTTTTCTATCAGAAAAGCCAGGCTCCTGCCCCCGGCTGGACAAAGGCATCCCCCCGCTGGGCATCTGTGAAGACCAGTGCCAGATGGACAGCCACTGTCCAGGCCAGATGAAATGCTGCCGCAACGGCTGTGGACATGTGTCCTGTGCCACACCCAGCTTCTGAGGTAGATAGGGGTGGGGAGGAGCCCATCGCTGCCCAGGTGTGACTGGAGGCTGAGAAATGAGACCTGGGCAAACGTATTGTGCTCAATTTTTTGTCCATTTGTTTACTTTTATTCAGTGCACAAAGATTTACTGAGTCTCTGTCAGGGAGGGTTCACATGTCAGGTGCTGGGGCTGCCTCATGCATGAGCAAATCAGACAACATTACTGTGTGGTGGGGTTTGCATACTAGTGAGAGGAGATGGACAATAAACAAAATAAACACCTAACTAAATTCTGTTGGCAGGAGACACATGCCATGGAGAAAAATAAGGCAGCGAAGGTGTAAGATGGCCATAGTAGTAGTCACAGTGTCCACAGTAATGCCAGAACCTGTCTAACTTCATGAGGCAGAGTGATGAGACTTACCATCAGCACAAAGCTGACTCCCATGAGGTAGAAGTCAGATATACCTCCACTCTCCAACCTTTTTACCAATTCTGACACCAGCTGTACCTCCCGCAGCACTCTCTACTTCTCTTCTAGGTTCTATAATCCATTGCGATGGCCACACAGAACTCGCAGACCATACTTACAGTTAAGTGGTTTATTAAGGAACAGGGTACAACTTGGGATCAGGCTGCAGTTCAGGAATCAGAATCAAGAAGCATGTAGGCAAAGTCACCCTTGTTTATTGCAGGACAGTTCTCTCAGCTCCTCTTGGCCCTGCCGTCTTTGCCACCAGCTCTGCCGTGAGCCCCTTTCTGGGCCTCTCACACTGCCTTCAGTGTTACAGCCCTTGACCCGTGTTACAGCTCTTCTAGGAGGTTCCTTGCTTACTGTCTCTCTGTTTCTTCTCTTTCTTCTTTCCTCTGCTTCTTCCTGTTGGCTTTCTTCCTGCTTCTTTCTGTCTGCCCCCCAGACAGGGGTTGGCTGCTTATACACACAACTTTGTCAATTCAAGGCACAGCCCCTCCCAGCGGAGGCTACAAGCGGACTAATCTTCTCTAGGTAGGCCACAGACATTTCATTTGCATAGTAGGCTATAGATACTTCATTTGCATAGTCTATTGACCAATGCCTGCAAAGTGCATACCAATTACAGGGAAGGCTGCAGCCCAGGCCAGGACCAGACAAAAAGTATCAAACCAAGTTGTTTACAGCTTGTCAATCATCCTGGCAAAAGTAGCAGATCCCCTGGGGGTAGAAAACTAGAGCAAAGGTAACTCCTCAGGGTTTATGAGAAAAATCTCTCGAGCTGTTTTTCCAAAGAACCAAGGCAAAAGGCTACATAAAGGAACTCATTTCACCATAGAAGGGGATAAATAGTATTGAAGGCAGGGGGAGAAAGAGCAGTGTTGTAGTTTTTAAATAGGGTCGTCAGTGAAGAGCCCACCAAGAAGGTGGCATTTGCACAAAGATTTGAAGAAGGTGAGAGAGGGAGCCATGCAGGGGGGTCTCTGGGGAGAGTAACAGGCAGAGGGAGCAGCAGGTGCAAAAGCCCTGAGGCAGACAGGGTGGCTGGAGCCAGTGAGGAAGGGCAGGGTCAGAGAGGGGTGGGGCAGGTCATGTGGGCTCTATAGGCCATTGTACGGGCTTTGGCCTTTGCCCTAAGACGTTGAGCCATCAGAGAGGGACATTATCTGACTGCATTTTGAAAGGACTGCTCTGGCTGCTGTGTGGAGGAGGGACTGTAGAGGGGCAGGGGCAAAAGCAGGGAGACTCGTTAGGAGGCTTCTGGAAGAGGCCAGGTGAGAAATAAAGGGCCAGGATGGACTCGAGGGAGATAGGTGGTTGGATTTGGAATATACGTGAAGGTAAAAAACAAAAACAAAAATCAAACACGTTGCCATGGAGTCGATTCTGACTCATAGCAACCCCGTGTGATGGTAGATGGGGAGATACTGGTCGAGGAGGCTGGATGTGAGAGAAGGAATTTTATCCCTGTGTTTCTTCACCAAGCACTGAAATATGTCAGCAGCTAGAGGAGAGCAGCTGTGTCCTAGGAGAGGGGACAGTGGCTGCAGGGATCAGGGAGGGAGGAGCTCATTGCCTGGCCAAGGGGAGGCAGGAAAAGAGTTGATCTTTACTTTGAGCTTGGATTTTCAGGACAAACATGGTAAGGGCCAATTAACTTCAGTTCAATTCACCAAATGTGTATTTTTGTTATTGTTGTAAATATATAAACAAAACAAAAGAACCAAACCCATTGCCGTCGAGTCAATTCCGACTCATAGCGACCCTATAGGACAGAGTAGAACTGCCCCATAGGGTTTGCAGTGAGCAGCTGGTGGATTTGAACTGCCAACCTTCTAGTTAGCAGCTGTGGCTCTTAACCACTGTGCCACCATTTTTTCAATTCAATGGTTTTCAAGTGTATAATTTAATGAGATCGATTACATTAATCATAATGGCAGCCATCACCAATAATCATTGTCAAATTTCCTATCACCATGAACAGAAACTCAACTGCTTTCTAAACAATGACTCCCCCTTTCCCCTCCCTCCAGCCCCTGATAAAAGCTAATAAATTTTAGTCTGTCTCCATTTGCTTATTCTAGATATTTCATATAAGTGAGATCATACAATATTTGTCCTTTTTTCAAATGTGTGTTTGAAGTGTGTTGAGCACTTATTCTGTGGCAGGCCAGGGCGAAATTCAGAACTTTAGTGCTCTGGGCACTGGAAAGGTAAGACTTTGAAGCCCCCTCCCCTGTATATAATTAAAAATAAAACAATATTAAATCATAAAGTAAGGAATCCCTGGGTGGTGCAGATGGTTAAGTGCTCCACTACCAGCTGAAAGGTTGGCGGTTCGAATCCACCCAGAAGCACCTCGAGAGACAGACCTGGAGATCTGCTTCTGAAAGGTCACAGCCTTGAAAATGCTATGGAGCAGTTCTGCTCTGCACATATGGGGCTGCCATGAGTTGGAGTCGACTTGATGGCAATTAACAACAACAACAAAAAAATCATAAAGTAAGTGTAAGAAAGTAAAGAAGCAAAAAACACCACAGGACATGTTGAGTCTGCCCATGGCAGGGGGTGGGGGGCAGCACTCTGTAAGACGCTGTGCCAGGTGCTGGGATGGGAAGATGATTGAGGCCCTGCCTCCCAGAGCTTGCAGTCTGGCTGCGGAGACAGACGGACAGACGTGTGAACAGACACTTGCAGCGCCTGTAGTCAGTGCTGCGATGGAGAAAAGCGCAGGGTGTTGTGGGAACACAAAGAAAGAAAACCCCACCCAGGCAGGGGTGGGGAGGGCTGGGAAAGGGCAAGCAAGGATGGCTTCCCAGAGGGGTGACCCTGAGCCAGTCCTTAAGGATGAGTAAAAGGGAGGTGGCCTGGTGAAGTACCCTGGGGAGGCTGTTTCAGGCTGCCAAAAAAAAGAAAATCTGAGCAGTGGTATAATCTGAAGTTTTATTTGGTTTATAGATCCATAGAATAGGTAGCACCATCCCTGTAACTAGGAAATGTGCTCCCCCAAACAAAGGCAGGCTAGGGGTTTATACTGAGAAGAGAAAATGGGGGGGAAAAACAGAGCAGAGCATTTTTTTTTCTGTACTTTGAAGTTGCAGCTGATCATTAATTACATCATACTATCAAGTCAAGCGAAAGACAAAGTATATGGAGCAATAAAATTTAGGCTTATCAGAAGAAACAGAGGGTCTGTTGAATGTCGTCTTAGAACGTTTGAGCACATACATAGATTAAAGCTGAATGTAAGCAGAAATGTTTTGTGTATAACAAGGAGGTCAAAGGAAACAGGAATTTTTGTGTGTGAGGCTCCTGGAGTGAATTTGGCCAAGTCCAGGTTCCAGGGAATCTGGAAAAGGAAGAAAACATTTAACAAGGCAGAGGCGTAGAATGAGCCAGAACCTGGAAGTGCCCTTTCATTGAAATCCCATTGCTACTCACGTGTTACCTTTGACAAGATCTTAGTGAAGAACTTGGAGCTCACTGATGGAGTCCAATATTGCACAGATGAGACAACTGGGGCCCAGAGACAGAGGGATGTGCCCAAGGCCCCAGGATTGCTGACTAAGAGGAACCCTGGTCCCCGGGGCTCAGAGCTCTCCAGTGATGCAACTCTCACCTCCATGACTGCCAGCGGCACAGCACGGATGGGCTTTGCAGTCAGGAGGACCTGGGTTCAGATTTCACCTGTGCCATTCAACTAGCCTTTTCACTTCTCTGAGCCATAGTTGTTTTGCTTATAAAATGGGGATAAATAAAATCTATTTGATCAACTAATTCCAGCTTCACTTAAGAAATGCAGGAATGGTGGAACTTCCTGGGGGTAGAGGGATTCTTGAGGAGATAGATGCCCATGGCTCCTCAGGAAGGCCACAAGAGAGGTCATTTGGGAGCACATTGTGCCCAGGTGTGTCCTGGGGGATGTTCTGAAGTAGAAGAGGAGAGTCTACAACCTTCCGGTAAATGCCACCAGAGCCCCAGGATCTCAAGGAGATGAGCTTTACTCTGGGTGGAGGAGGTGGGGAAGGTTGGTCCGATTTAGGCTACAGGTACTCTTGTCGATTACTATGGATATTGTTGGTGTTATGATTATGATTTTCTCTCTCCTGCTCCAGCCACTACCAGCCCTTGGAATTGGAGAGGAGAAGTCTCTGCCTGGCCCAGCCATCTGCTGCAGCCTCCCCACTTTCTGTCCTCTGCACCCCTCCTGGGCTGACCACAGCTTTTTCCTTTTCCAACCAATAAAGTGACCACTTCCAGCACTGGTGGGGCATGGCATCCGTTATCACTATGTTCCTGTCTTTGCTGGCCCTCGTTTGAGGTGGGTGGGTGGGAGGGGGTCAACCAAATCTTCCAGGCACCCAGTCCAGGGAGGAACCACATCAGAATCAAGGAACAGTAATTCAGGGCACTTTCCCAGGTGAATCCTGGCACCAAGCCTTTGAGGTTGGTCATTCTCCCAGTGCAATGGATGAGAAAATAGAGGCTCAGAGAAGTGATGGAACACTTCCAAAGGCTCTCAGATTCATTGCTGGGTTTTCTGAT